CGCTTTGTTTTCGTAAGTGCACGTGCTTTTGGTTTGTTTCGTTCGTACGGTAACTCGCGTTGCCAGCATACAAAAAACCAGTGTATATTGGTGATATTTTGTTCATTATTATCCCAACCCCAAAAGAAAAAAACTGACATATAAACCTTTTGACAATTTTCCAGAACTACCCGAAATTAAAAAAGATTGCCCTAAGTTTGTTCTTATCTCCGCAACAGACTCGAACAAATCAATTTCCAAATACTCTTGCTTCGCTGTGCATAAAAGCTTAGAAAATTGTGTCTATCACCGAATTTGGTGATGATAATCTACTTTTACTTGTTAAAAACCGGAAAACTGCTGAAAAATTTTTAACAACAAAGAAATTACATTGAATTTGTGATATTTCTGTGAAACTACATGACAATTTGAATTGCTCTAAAGGTACAATTTATGCGCCATTCTTAAACGACGTTTCAGAAGAAGAAATTATCAATAATTTAAAACATCAGGGAGTTACTTCCGTCTATAAATTCACTAAAAATCTGGAAGGCAAACAAAAACCTAGCGGAGTGGTTCTCCTTTCATTTGACCTCTACAAACTTCCCGAAAAAATCGAAGTCTCATGACGCACAATACGGATAAGAGCCTATTTCCCAAACCCCATGAGGTGCAAAAGTTGCTAACTTCTAGGCCACACAGCTAAACGCTGCAACAACAACCCAACATGCGACACATGCAATTTCCCACCCCATCCCCCTTCATCATTCAACCGCATCTTCTGTGCAAATTGCTCAGGCGATCACCCTTCCTCTTCACGCTCTTGTCCCAAATACCTTCAATCGAAAAATATTTTAAAAATAAAAACAGAAAGAAAATTTTCAATGCGAGAAGCACTAAGTTTATACAAAGAACAATTACCCCCCACAACCACAAACTCTTCTTTCGCCTCTGTTACAAAAGAAAATACAAACAAAAAAAGTACAAACGTGATTAATCATCGCTCACCATCTCTCCCCCGGCCATTCCCCACAGACCAATCTCCAACAACTGATCTTCCACAACAAAAGAAAACTTCAAAAGAGAGCAATAACTGCTATGTAATTAATACCCACCAAAATTCACCAATTGAAACTACAAAACAAACAACTAAAAGCAATCCTAACTTAACGTTTCCCCAAACAAAAACAAACTCAACCAAAGTAAACATTCCACTCATTCCAAAAAAGTCCATTACCGATTCTTTTATCAACCAATCTCACTCTTTCTTTTCAGACAAATTCGATCTCTCTCCACCTACTTACTCGTGCAATATCTCTCCTCACATAATTATCACATCAGATAATGAAGATCAATAATTCTCAAAACTCCTTCTCACTTTTTTGTACCTAAACAATACTCTGCCTATTTCTCCAACCTAACAAAAAACCTTACTAGCAAGCAAGGAGTTGCTACTCTGATAAAAAAAGATATCCCACACAAATTTCTTCCTACATATTGTAATATCTCTACAATAGCAGTGGAAATTTTTATTGGATTTAAATTAACCATCCTAACAGTTTATATCCCACCACATCAAAACTTCAATATCAAAGAACTCCGCGATATAATCAGACCCATTCAAACACCCCTAATTATACTTGGCGATTTCAACGCCTGGAGTCCTCTTTGGGGCTCTGAATGTACTAACCAAAGAGGTAAAATCCTAGAAGACCTTATAGCGGAGAACTTAACTATTTTAAACGACGGCTCTCCCACACATTTTTCTACATACAATTCGTTTACGAATGTAGACCTGGTCCTGTGTTCTTCTGCTATCGCCCCCAAACTAAACAGCCAAACCTTAACTGAACTATATAACAGTGATCATTTTCCTATTATAACTCACCTATCAACCCCCTTATCTAACAAAGGTTCGGCAAAGCCGAAATTTCTGTTGGACAAGGCGGATTGGTCTAAATTTCAACAACTTTGCGAAAGTTATTCTGCTGCACATCCCCCTGTCAATAATATAAATAAAGAAACAGCTACGATTACCAAAATAATTAAAACCTCTGCCCACTTCTCTATCCCTCAAACGGGTAAAAAAACTTTCAAAAGTCATGTGCCTTATTGGTCTACCGAGCTTTCAAAACTCAGAGAAGAAAACCAATTACTATGGACAGTATACAAAAGAACTCGCTCTATCCACAATTTGATACAATATAAAAAAGCCAATGCAGTATTTCGAAAAAATATTAAAGAAGCTAAGAGGACTTGCCTACAAAAACTTACCGAAGCTATCACTCCCTTAACAAGCCCCAAGAAACTATGGGCCGACATAAAAATGTTATCAGGCTCCTATTCGCAAGTTAACCTTAAATGTATCATTAGCCCGAATGGCCCAATTTTCGATTCAAAAGAGATAGCTAATCATTTCACATCTGTATGGTCCGACTACTCGAGCGACTCAAATTTCCACTCCTCCTTTGTATCAAATAAAAACGAACTTCTCAGAAGAATGTATAGTAAAAACAACCCACCTGTACATATTACCGAATCAGACATAACCATCGCCGAATTCGATTTCACAATATCATCAATGTCAGCAAGACCCATGCTTAAAAATTGCCCTTCAAGTCTCAAAAATAGAATTATTAAATACACAACAACAATATCCTATGTCAAGGTGTCTACCCCCAAAGCTGGAAAAATGCAGTGGTAGTTGCCATTCCCAAATCCAATAATGTCTCAACAGACGTATTCGGTTACAGACCTATATCACTCCTCTGCTGCATGGGCAAAGTATTAGAAAATATTCTATCAAAACGAATCTCTGGGTTCGCATTAAAAAACAACCTTCTCAGCCCAAACCAAGTGGCATTTAAGGAAGGGCAAGGCACTATAGATGCTTTACTTTATTTCGAAGACTTTGTCAAAACTGCCTTATCGAAAAGAAATCACGTATCTACTCTCAGTTTGGATTTCGAAAAAACCTTCGACAGAGTCGGTTTGCACGTTATCTTACAACAGCTTGAGAAGTGGCAATTGGTGTAAAAATATTTAATTTTGTTAAATCTTTCCTAATTAATCGTAAAATCACGACCAAAATCAACAACACCTTTTCAAATACGTACAATATGTACAACGGGATCCCGCAAGGATCACCATTATCTGTTATACTGTTTGTAATCGCATTTAACGAAATTAGTGTGATCATTTCTAAACATAAGCTCATCTCACATATTATTTATGCGGATGATGTGCTGCTTTTCTCCAAACAAAACAATCTAGATATTGTAAAACAAACTTTCTTAAATATCCTAACCGAAATTTCAAATTGGGCTAATGGTTCAGGTGCGAATATCTCTATAAACAAATGTAAATTATTCCATATTTGCAGAAAACACAAATGTAATAACTTCAATCTACAGTATAATAATGTAAATATTGTTAATACTACTAGACTTAAATTTCTAGGTTTAATATTCGATAAGAGACTTACTTTTAAGGAACATTGTACACATCTTCGTAAACAACTAGTTTCTAGGCTTAATATAATTAAGTATTTATCATCAAAATATTGTTTAATACGTATCACATCTCTTATTAATATCGCAAGAGCTTTAATTTTATCTAAGATAGATTATGGTCTCCCTATCTACGGCAACTGGGCAAAAAGCAATATAAAGCAAATCTTTGCACCATATAATGCAGCTGTTAGGAGAAGTATTCGTGCATTTCCAACATCACCAATAAAGTTTATTTTAACGGAAGCTGGACTCCCATCTATCGACGAAAGAATAACGAACACTTCGCAAAAACTTATTCCAAAACTGCTATTGTGCAATAGTAACCTCTTATATGGTATAGTAAAAGCCAAATGGATGAAACAAACTCCAATATTGGCTCCACTATCTCTAGATGCATCAAACTAGCTAGAGATCTAAGTATTTCATCTGTACCGGTTGAAAACTTTATCTCAGCTGCACCATGGTTACTTAAAAAAACCTCGTTCGAGCTACAACTTCAAAAACATCAAAAGAAGAACACTAACTCCAGGGTATACCAAAATTTGTTTAAAGAACTCATTATACAACAATACGCAGACTGGAAGCTCATCTTTACGGACGCTTCCAAGGCCGACTTCTACACGTCTTTTGCTATTGTTGATAACATTGGAAATACGTTAAAAGCTGGACAATTACCCAACTACTGCTCAGTATACACGGCAGAGGCAGCAGCCATATACCTATAATGCATTACCTCTAGCTCGTGAATATAATACAAAAACGTTAATATGCACAGATAGCAAGTCTACAATCTCAGCTCTTCTTAATGGAACCAACAAGTCTTACCTCATTTCGCAAATTAGAAACATACTAATTGGTAACAGAAACATAAAAATTATGTGGGTCCCAGGTCACGCTGGCATTACTGGAAATGTAGGGGCCGATCATAACGCCAAACTGGCTGCAAAACAGCCATTGATTGTCTTCGACTACATTGAAAAAAAGGATATATTCCGTTTAATCGCTTCACAGGAAAAAGCCGTAAAAGTTAATGCTTGGAAAAATGTGCAACATCACTACGCCATCTGCAATCAGAACGGGAATAAATCTGTCTACCCACCCTCAGGCCAATGCCATGACATCAAGGCCTTTGCTCGCCTTCGTCTTGGCCATACGTCATTAACGCACTCTCATATATTAAACGGAAACAAAATTCGACCCTGCACATATTGCAACTCGCCCACCTTATCCATAATCCATCTACTAGATGAATGCCCCCTCTTCAACTCTGCAAGAACCAGTATCTTTCAAAACAATAAAGCTATAATATATCATTTTTATTATTTAAGACCTTTATAATTGAAGCTGCGAGCTGAATGCCTCTGAAGCTAGTGCTCCTTTTACTTTGTAAAATAATAATTGTATTATTATTTTTCATATAATAAATAAATAAATAAAATATTCGCGATAACACGAAGGTAACCAATTCACTACTACATTGGTAAATTTTCACCTATTACACCACTACATATTTAAAGCTAACTTTTTGTTTTTAAATTTAAAATTCTACTGTAAGCGTAGTAACATTCCTCATACATATTTTTTGAATGCGTAAGAAAGAGATGAATTACAGCTATTCCATTTTTCATCAACAATGGCCGACTTAATTTGGAAAAAAAATTTTGAGTTAAGCACCTTGTCTGATTTGCTTATTAAATATGTTATTTTATTTTGATTTATAGGATCAAAAGGCGATTATAAAGAAGGTAAGTATGTACTTAAATTGTATGTTGTTTCTAAAGAACTGATTAAATATATTATAATTGCAGAGGACGGAAGAAAACTCTCAATACGCCATCCGAGCTGGAAATGTAGTGGGATCAATTGTGTCGCTATTGCAAAGCGTTGTGTGATATGTTTTCCAATGGTGATTCCAAGGTAAGTTGCCTAATTTTCTGCTTTGAAGTTGGAAAGACCAATTACTTACATTTTCTTGCCTCCTCTAGGCAATTTGCAGCATATGATTTGGAATTTTGCGAAAGATTTTCCCCATCAATCAGCGCATGTGCACAGTCGCTCAGAGTTTTGGTGAACGTGCTATACAGATAAGCATGGCTGTGCAATGCTTAAATTAACTGCTTATTTATTTACTTTGTGTACTTTTTTAGTGTTTTTAGATGACACTCAATACTTTCCATTTTGTTGGTGGGTCGTCAATTAATGTTTCATTAGGTGTACGGAGTCTAACGAAAATCATTAATATCTCCAAAAAATCAAGAACTCTCTAACAATATTCCTTACTGATTGTGCGGCGCGGGATGCCGAGAAGGTTAAGAATATGCTGTGTCGCTTGAAGCAGACCACCATGTGGAAAGAAACGGTCAAGGGTACTATTTATACAAACTATCATCTCGGTGGATCAAGAATACGCATTTCGCCATGATTGCTGCGTATCGAATTGAAATATTCCAAGTGTTGGACATAGAGGATGTGCATAAATCGATTTAAAAGGAACTAAATATTCTGCTGACGTTCTACGGCTTCTACGTGAACTATCGTTCTTTGGCCTTGTGTGAGGTAACAACAGCTTACTGAATACGAGTAATTAAATTATACAACTAGGCTAGATGTGATAAATACATATTATATATATTGAGGCAATATATCAACATTATAATAACATATAATAATGATAAATATAATCATAACTGGGCAGTATATATACTTTAATTTTTGGAATTTATATTAAGTATTGTTTCTTCTGGTTCATTTTAGCACAAAATTTTAATTGTGAGATTTCTTCATATTAACCTATACTTTATTGTTTGGTTAGAAAATGTCATCAGCTGCAACTTCAACATTTTGTTTGGTTACCTTTCCATAGGTAACCCCTTTTAATCATTTGTTTATTACCAAAGTACATGTTACGGAAATAAAAAAAAGATTCTATGTTTCAGTACAATTTTTGACGTTTCATAACGTGTATCCAAGGTAACCACCATAAATAACATATCTATGTTAAGTACCATGTTAAATATTACTAAACTAAACTTTTTATATGAATTGTGTACACACTTGCATGCATTTATTTTTAAAATATCATGTAGATACTTTACTTTAACATATACAAAAGAAAATAATTTTTAATTATTTTTCATTCATTTCAGATTTATGCAAAATTTGATGGAAAGTTCTCAAGCTGAATTTCAATATCACCATTTTAGTTTTTAAATCATAAAATTTAAGTTACCTTTGTATTAGTATTAAGTACTAAATTGATGAATTTAAAATATAATTTTTAATTTGGGGTGCATGTGTGTACCTAATGTAGGAATATTAACAATTAATAAATTAATGTAATTATTATTGTAAACTATAAAAGTTTCTCAATCAATATAATGATAATGTAGTATATATATAAAGGTTTACCAAAAAAATTACTGTAAGAAGGAAAATTTAGTTTGTAATGTATATACAATAAAACCTACGGCTAACCAAACAAATAAGCTATAAACCTGTTTTCTGTAACTTATAGGTGACCATAGCAATAACCAAACAAACTGTTTTCAGCAACAGATGGTATCCAAACAAATAGCCAATGAAAATAACGCTGTTAACCAAAGAATAACAGATATTTCTAAACGCAAAAGCAATGAGAGAGAACGAGTAAGATAATCACACCGACGTGTAGTGAAAAACAAGATATAGTTACTTTTTTCCAAAGGCTAGAACAAAAGTAGCCTCTCGGCTAACAAATACATTAAATACTGTTGACCTATCGGTAACCAATGAGTTAATTGTTAACTCTGCACCTTACCACCACTACCCTCTGGTGGAATGGCTCCCGATGGTTAACAGAATCTCCCGATTCTTGCCCACAATCGCCCATGTGGAACATAATTGTCCTAGAAAATCGAAAAATCTACTCTTTCCACACAACATTGGATGATACTGTCATCTTTGAGCGATTTTCATCCAAGCCTCAGAGTAGTTGTCTACGTGCTCAAATTTATAGAGCAACTCAAAATCAAAGCCAAGGGATCACCAAACTCCCAATGCGATACATTGACGTACCTAGACCTACAAAGGCAAAAGTCCCTCTAATAGCATATACTCAAGTTCGCTACTTTAGCCGCGAGATATCATTGCCAATTGATAAAAAGATATCACTCTTAGAATAAACCCATTTCTGGACATAAAAGGTCTGCTTAGTGCGAATGGTCGGCTTGCCAACTTCTGCCTGACATACATCGAAAGTCATCCCATAATCGTCCCAGAAATATCACAACTTGCTACATTATATCTCCTTTATGTCCACTTGCCCATGCTACACGCCGAGTACCGTCTCATGCAACAAATAGTCCGTTTAGAGTTTTATATCCCAAGATTTAAGCTTCAACTACAAGGAAGCATTTTCATGTGCAAAGTTTGTATAACGTAAAAACAAAAATTACGAACGCAGATTATGGCAGCACTTAAACCAGAACGCTGCAACTTCGCTCTGGCTTTCACAATAACAAATATCGAATTTGCTGGGCCTTTCCAAACGACAAACGCTCTACACCTTGTAAATATGTAAAAATCTGACGATAGAAGCTTTTCTCGCGCCATTTGCTCATCTCATGGACAGCGTGGTTTCTGCATTTGCGGCATTTTTTCTTATTTAACCTTATGGGATTCAAAAAGTGAGCGTTTGTGGAGAAAAAATGTAACCTTAACACATAGTCATTAAATGAACACGGTCCTTCGAGCCTAAAAGAAAGGCGCTAAAGATTTAAAACAAAACAAAAAATTACCAATATATGGCCAAAGTGCCGTGAAACAGTGACAAAAAAAAACAAAACCAGTAAATTACATACATATATGTATGTATATAAAGTGACCAAAGTGCAGTAAAACAGTAACAACAAGTAAGGAAGGGCTAAGTTCGGATGTAACCGAACATTTTATACTCTTGCAAAGTCAAATGGTATACTCGTTTTAGATTTCTTTGTGGATTGACTGATATTTTCGGTAAAAAGTCAACTATAGGCACTGGGATCCACATATTTAGTACTTAGTGGCTTGAACAGTTTTGATTCGATTTAGACAATTTTTGGTCACAAGGTGGCATACTTTAAACGTATTATTCACGCAAAGTTTTACCCCGATATAATCATTCTTGCTTGATTTGCATACTGAAAAGTGAAAGAATCAAATGGAATTGAAAATGGTGTTATATGGGAAATAGACGTGGTTGTAGTCCAATTTCGCCCATTTTCGCACTATAATATAAAAATATGAAAATAATGTTGTATACCGAATTTGGTTGAAATCGGTTAAGCAGATCCCATGATATGGGTTTTCACCTAAAAGTGGGCGGTGGCACGCCCACTGACTAATTTTGAACGCGGTTCCTATAAAGTCAATTATCAGAGATAAAATTTAATGTCTCTGGCGTGTTTAGTGCTTGATTTATCTCTCATTTAGTATTTTTTAACAGTACCGTTATATGGCGAGTGGGCGAGGTTGTCACCCGATTTAACATTTTCACACTGTCGATAGAGGTGGCAAAAACATTTGTTATCAGTGAATTTTGTTAATATAGCTTTAGCGGTTTAGGAGATAGGCACATTAAACTTATTAGGGGCGGGACCACGTCCACTTTTAAAAAAAAATTTTTAACTGCAGATGCCCCTCTCTAATGTGATCCTGTGCACCAAATAACAGTCTTGTATCTTATTGCGGAGCTTAGTTATGACAATTTATTTGTTTTTGATTAATGGCGTTTTGTGGGCGTGGCAGTGGTCCGACTCAACTCAAGTTACAGCTTGCACGGACGGACGGACAGACGGACGGACGGACGGACGGACAGACAGTCATCCGGATTTCAACTCGTTTCTTCATCCTGATCATTTATATATATATAACCTTATATCTAACTCGATTAGTTTTAGGTGATACAAACAACCGTTAGGTGAACAAAACTATTATACTCTGTAGCAACAATTTGCGAGAGTATAAAAATAACTAAATCAAATATTAAGTGTGCGTAACAATAACAAACAAAGCGGGCGCGAAATAAAATCAAATAACCCATATAAGCGGGCGCGAAAGTAAAAACAGAATTAACAATATACCTATACGAGCGCAAACTAAAAAAGAAAGGATAAAAACACAAAATATCCAAAAAAACAGGCACGGATTTTACAACAAATAGTCTCATAAATCTGAAACACAGAGGAAAGGACTCTACAACACAGATAAGCTCACCTTAAACTTAAATAAATATAATATATTTTACACCCCAAAACCCCTGGAGGAAACCAAAGAGAGTTGTATTGTTTTCAAATATTACTCATTATATTGTATATAGGTATGTACATATGTAGCATGTTGATATACGATTTAATATATAGATCATATAATATCGGGTATATATCCGCTAACGGTCAAGACAAACGGGAACTAAACTGTTTCAAATAACGGTTATTCTACGGGAAAACTGAAAATACCGCCATCAGGCAAAAACGTATGGTACAATGTGTATAATGTATATTAATATATATAATCAAATTTAATGTATATTAATGTATATAATCAAATACATATTAAATCAATGCCTATAAGCTTACCATTGTGTTCTAAAAACACATCAATTTCCAAATACAAAAAAACAAATTTTCAAGCATATTATCAGCGAAAAATTCCGGCAGACCCCTTAGGCTTAACAAAGCAATTAGCAGGTCTGCATAAAAAAAGTAAGCAAAGGCAAAATAACAGTTTAAATATAATAAAATAAAATAAAGAAGAGAAAAAAAACAAATAAGGGTAAACATACATACATACATATGTCTATATTCATTATATACATACATACTTAATTCCTAAGTGCAAAATAGCAAAAGCGAGAGCGAAAGTTAAAGGAGCTGCTCATTTGCATACACATAAATTTGATATATAAACATATTTACACATATCTATACATACATAAGTTCAGTCGGTAAAATACTTGTATTTTATAATTCTCTGGTCTCTTAACTCGTACCGCGGAAATAATACGCATATATTCATATAACGGGGTGTTTTTTCGAGGTATAAAACTTTCAGTTGGCATTACTGTTCAAGATGGCGACCGATTTAACAGCTGTCAAGTGACTTATTCTCAGTTTGGTTTGGCAATTTATCATGAATAGACTTACGCCTGAGCAACGCTTGCAAATACTGCAATTTTATTTCGAAAATATTGGTTTTGTGCGGATTACGTATCGCGCACTACGTTCATTTTTTTAGTTTAGCGATGAAGCGCACTTCTGGTTGAATGGCTACGTCAACAAACAAGACTGCCGCATTTGGAGGGAAGCTAATCCTCAAGTGTATGTTGAAACATCCAGAAAAACTGACTGTTTGATGCGCTTTATGGGCTGGTGGAATCATAGGTCCGTACTTCTTCAAAAACGATGATGGCCAGAACGTTACAGCCAATGGGGATCGGATAGGGCCATGATTACTAACTTTTTCATTCCTGAATTGAACAACCATGATGTCTGCGGTTCCAATAAGATGGCGCAACATGTCACACAGCTCGTGCCACAATCGATTTGTTTAAAGGCACGTTTGGTGACCGCCTAATTTCACGTTTTGGACCTGTGTATTGGCCTCCAAGATCACCGCTAGACTACTTTCTGTGGGGTTGTGTCAAGTCACAACTACTACATCAGTCAAGTCATTGGTCTATGCGCATAAGCCACAAACGTTTAAAAATTTGGCAGACAACATTCGCCGTGTTATTGCCGATATATGGCACAAATGTTGGAAAAAGTCATCGAAAATTGGACGTCCAGATTGGACTAATCATATGGACATAAATCATATTTAAAATATAATGCCACAAGATTATCTTTCAGATAAATAAAATTCATGTCAATCGAATAATCCATCGTTGTTTTATTGCAATTTAAAGTTCTATACTTCTAAGAAAAACACCCTTTATATATATCTACATACCTCCAGTACACAATATATATAAACTGATCCGCTTATAGGTGTACCCTATAGGACTTTCGGACAAAAAAACATTAATATAAATAAATAATTGCGGTTATTAATAAACAATTTAGCATAAACATTTGTAATCAATACAAATAATAAAATATAATACAAATTATTATTTTATATCTCAAATAAAAATCCGAAAACAAAACAAATAAAAACCTTTAAAAACGCGGACCGTTATGAACAATGGCCGTCCTTCCGGGACATGTTTACAGCAGTTTACATGAACCACCCAAAATTATCAAATGCACAAAAATTGGATCCACTCCGACAC